TCCACCCCCACACGTCTCTTCCTCCACCTCCCTTTTACTATTTTGCCCCTTCCTCCACCTTTCCTTTACTATTTTGCCCCTCAATAAAATTTTATTTTTAAAATTGTTGTTTTTTAATTTTATTCATTTATAACATATTTCATTGATAACCTACNATATATATATATATATATATATATATATATATATATATTCATTATTGATTTTGTATCAGTCTTTGCTTTAGATTAAAGAACACATTTAATTTATTAAGTAATTTAATAGACTTATATTAGCTTTTCTAATTTTTAATTTATTTATAAAATACATATATCATATTTTTGTTTTTATTTATAGTTATTTGATATTTATTTAATTGTTATTTAATATTGATATAAATATAATTTTTTTTATTAATATTTAACATTAGAAAAAATACAATATGCATCATTTTATTTATTTAACATTGATAATATAATATTTTTTTTATTGTGATTTTTATTTTAATAAAAAATATTTGATTAATATTTATAACAATAAGATGAAAATAAAGATAAAACAAAATTTTTATATTCACTAAATATGAGATGAGAGTAGAATAATCATTCGCTTCCAACCCACCCATCTGCCATTATATAAAAGTGTAACCTAAATTAACTTTATACTTTTCATATTTCAGGTTTCATATAATAATACTTCACAAAACAATCAATAATAAATTAAGAAAATTGTGTAGAGAAATAAAACTCGTGTGAGGACAAAATATGAGTTTTCTATGTTGCGAAGTTGTCTGACAGATCTAACTAAGGAAATGGTTGTTGATTATTTCAACGTTGTGAAGATACAAGAGTCCGAAGTTATTACAAGAAGAGATATATTTTAGCTGGTTAGTTTTTTGATGACCAGTTCTTCCGGAATTAAAATCTCATTAAGACAATTCATTACAAACCTCCTACGTCCTATGTTTCTAATCGAATTAATCTATTTTTAAGGAAGTCTTATGTTGGTGATGAAATTAACCTATTTTTAAGGAAATGGTGAGAATGTAGTAGTATTTTTTAGGTTTAATAGTCAATTTTGTCTCTAGCTTCGTTGACAAATGTCAATTTGGTCTCTCGTTTTAAATTTGTTTGAAATTGATCTCCATTTTTAAAATTTTGAGTCAAATTAGTCCTTTCCGTTAAATAAAAACAAACGGCGTTAATAGATTGATGATGTGGCAAAAGATAGTGTTTATGTGTCACTGTTGGGTTGACGCAATAGGATGCTTCGTTCTCTTTCTCTTTGTCTCGTGTGAGAGGTTGGCTAGGGAAGCAACTTTCTTCTTCCCCTTTCCTAGTAGTTCTAGTTTGGCCTTGCAAAGAGGGGAAGCACCAGTTTGTTTTCCTTATTGTTGGTTCTCTCAACAAACCATATTCAAAGGTTCTTTTCCCAATTTCTTCTCTCTGCCATTTATCTCGAGCAAGCAAACCCCAATCAGTTTCGTTCCTCATGTCTTTGTGTATTTTCGCGGATCATCCAACCTTGGAGAAGAGGGTTTTTGGTTTGTGGCTTAGTATTGCGGAATCCTGGTCGGGTGACTCGCGGTGTGACGTTGAGAGAAAAGTTGCGATCCTGGTTGTTTGGGAAGGCGACAGCGCGACGCGGTGAGGGTGTAGCCAGCGAAGGCGCAATGAAGGCACAGTGGAGGCGCGATGTAGGTTTCTTCTCTCCATTTTGATTCGCGATGCAAGGAGGGAGCTTCCTTCCGTTTCTCCTTTTCTGGTTCGTCTTGCAGAGGGTTCCTAACCTTGTTTCTGATTTGGGAATGTGGGTTGTTGTCTCTTCCTTGCAGATTTTTGTCTTGTTTTGTTTTGAGCCAATGTTTGAAATGGGGATTTCGAATTAGGATTGAATTTAGGGTTTTTTAAATTGGGAATTTGGAGGTTAGGACTTTCAAATTTTGGGAATCCATACGTAAGTTCCTGCCGTGGAGTGTCTCTGACTGTGCCATCAAGGAATCAACCAGGGTCGATTGATAACAACTCTTATAATTCGTGGCAAGAAGAATGAGAGTGACTTCAGTTCTATCAAAATAACGTCTATAACTTCTGCTCCAGCCATTGTTTCAGTACTTATAGCCCTGATTGTTCTATTCTTCTACACACGGAAGTGGAAGCCAAGGTCCAGGGTTGTTGGCTCTATAAGAAAAGAAGTTACAGTGTTTACTGATATTGGGGTCACATTGACATTTGAAAGTGTTGTCCAAGCCACGGGAAATTTCAGTGTTGGCAACTGTATTGGGATTGGAGGTTTTGGGGGCAACGTACAAGGCAGAGATAACATCAGGAATCCTGGTGGCAGTCAAACGACTCGCAGTTGGACAGTTCCAAGGTGTTCAACAATTTCATGCCGAGATCAAGACCCTCAGGAGGCTTCATCATCCTAACCTTGTCATGTTGATTGGTGTGAAACAGAGATGAATTGGAGCTTCTGATCCTCTTTTCCGTTTTGCGATTTGAGAAGGTGAGGTCTTCGGTTTTGAATTTGGGTTTAGCGTTTTTGCTGTTCATGTTGATCTGACTTTAGGTTTCGTGAACTCATAACACGTCAATACGCACACAAGTAAATTATGACACATAACCACTGACTCCTGACAGTTTATCACCCCATTAACTCTGTTTGGTTATATTTAACGGAAGAGATTAATTTGACTCAAAATTTTAAAAATAAAAATCAATTTCAAACACATTTAAAATAAAGGACTAAATTAAATGAAACTGAAGACAAAATTGATATTAAACCTATTTTTTAATTCTTAATACTTATTTAATTACTTATGACTTTTTCATCCGTTGGACTTAAATGACACCAGCTATTATTAATGAATCATAGTCCTTTATGAAGACTCGGAATATCTCTAGGATATGAAGTCACTGATTAAGGGTATTTACTCCTCCACAGACAGAAATTAATTAAAACATATAATAACTTATGACATATATTACTTTTTACAGCAGTAATTATGCTGTTGACAGTTTTTTTTTTTCTTTCATTTTCCTTTTTATGGTTCAATTTCAAATATTGTAGGGCCTTTAATTTCAATGAATTTTTATTTAAAATTCAATTACAATATTAAAATATAATTACATGTTATTTATTTAGAATGTCTCGACATTCTAAATATTTTCAGACAAATTTAAATATCTGAAATAGCATGAATAATTTCAAAGGATTAGATTAATACATTGTTAAAAACCAGTTAAATACAAAGTACAAATTGCTCTTCGACTTATAATCATACAATTTATAATTCCCTAATTTTGAGTATCCAAATACAAGATAAATAATTATAATCACCGCATCACAAAAAGAAAATATTTTTTAAACAACTCATATTAGTAATTTAACAAAAATGACTTATATAAATAAAGATAGACCAATGTTAACGAGTATCTTAGACTCACCTTAATAACAATTGATTCTGAATTTTCATTTGCGTATGGTGAACTCATTTTTGTCCCTGACAATCATAATATATTTTTACAAAAAAAATAATGTTATGCATACATAAGCTAACAGTAAATAAACCAATTATCGTCTCACATCTTATTAAATAAATATTTTATATTTAATGGTAATAAGTGAAGCTGAAATTTCAGAAACAAGGACCACCAAGAAATTGACTGAATAATTAATAGTACACGAGAACACTGTAATTCAAATTAAAGGCTGGGTTTAACGAATTTTCTTTTTTTTTGTACGATAAAATTGATTGCTCTAGCTTTATTTGTTTATAAGGGTGACTTTTTCTGTTTTTAGATGCGTGTTCGAAAAAGCAAATGAAAGTGGAGAAATAACTTGTATTTATATAAATTCTGGAAAATTGAATTGAAAGTTAGAGGGTTTATAAATGGAAGTTTTAGAAAGTGGAAATTGTGATGGTCGCCATCACATTTTATGTGGTAAGAAGTGATCTAAACTCAAATGTCATCATAGTTATGAGACAGAAGTTTAGAGATTTTTCTTAAAAGGGCAAACAAAAGAGATAGAGTTAGGTGGAAAAGAGGAAATGGGTGTTGGAAATGATGATTTCAAGGTTTACATAGGGAAAACGAAGCGACAAAAAGAAAAAAAAACAAATAATTGTAACTTTTTCATTAGAAATCATTCTAATATTATTTATTTTAAGTTTAATGTCTCAATAGATTCCTATTTTTGTTCAGAATTTGAAATAGGTCCCTTTATTCTTTGGCGTCTCAATTGGGTCCTTATTTTTGTTAATTTGATGTAAATAAATCCTTTCCGTCAATTTCATCAAACGGCGTTAATGAATGTGTGACGTGGCCTGAGGACAGTATTGACACGTGTAAGGCCACGTCACACATTCATTAACGTAATTGATGGAAATGATTTATTTGCATCAAATTAATAAAAATAAGAACCCAATTAAGACGCCAGAAAATAAAGACACCTATTTTATTTTAAATTCTCAAACAAAAATAAGGACCTGAGACATTAAACCTTTATTTTATTTTATTTACAAGAAAAGTCAATGTGTTGAAAAATTAAATATTGGTAATAAATAGATTTCGTATTTAAGCTACTGACTGCCATAAAAATACTAAATTATTTATTATTATAACAGGCAGTACATCTCTCACTCTTGAAATTATAACTGTTCACGATCCATTAAAAAACAATAATTATCGCAGTTATATATTCTTCCACAAATATAATAATTTGGTAAATTTAATGTTTAGAAACATATAGGTAAGGGTATAGTTAAAAAATGTTTAGAAATATACATTATGACAACAGTAGTTTTGGAGAGTAGAAAATAATATTGAAGATGATAGTTTCTGTTGTGTTTCACTTTTATAAAGAGGTGATTGTTTAAGAGAAAGCAGCCAAGGAAGATTCACGCGCGAAGCACATGGAGTGAAAGAAAAGAGAAACAGATTTGGAAAAAGTCCAGTAGATCAATTAATAGCGGGTTAACCCAGCCCACAGGCCCACTCCAGAAAGTAAACCTCAAATAATCTCTTTCTTTATTCCTCAGTCTCTTCTCTTCACTTCTCTCACTCCTACAACCGCAAACCCACAATGGATTCTTTCTCTCTCCTCTGCACCGGAGCGCTCCTCGCCGGCGGCCTCTACTGGTTCGTGTGCGTACTGGGCCCAGCCGAGCAGAAGGGAAAGCGCGCCACGGATCTGTCTGGCGGCTCCATTTCCGCGGAGAAAGTCCAGGACAACTACAAGCAGTACTGGTCGTTCTTCCGCCGCCCAAAGGAGATCGAAACGGCCGAGAAAGTCCCGGACTTCGTGGACACCTTCTACAATTTAGTGACCGACATCTATGAGTGGGGGTGGGGCCAGTCCTTCCACTTCTCCCCCTCGATCCCCGGCAAGTCCCACCATGAAGCCACGCGCCTCCACGAGGAGATGGCAGTGGATCTCATCCAGGCCGGCCCAGGAGACAGAGTCCTGGACGTGGGCTGCGGCGTGGGCGGGCCAATGCGCGCCATCGCGGCCCACTCCCGCGCTAACGTTGTGGGAATCACAATCAACGACTACCAGGTGAATCGCGCCCGCCTCCACAACAAGAAAGCCAATCTGGACTCCCTCTGCGAGGTCGTCTGCGGCAATTTCCTCAACATGCCCTTCCCCGACAACTCCTTCGACGGCGCATATTCCATCGAGGCCACGTGTCACGCTCCCAAACTCGAACAGGTCTACGCTGAAATCTTCCGCATGTTGAAACCCGGTGCGCTCTACGTATCGTATGAGTGGGTCACCACAGACAAGTACCACGCCGACGACCCTGAACACGTGGAGGTCATCCAGGGCATTGAGAGGGGTGACGCCTTGCCTGGCCTCAGAAGCCACACTGACATAGCCGAAACCGCGCGTAAGGTAGGGTTTGTCGTGGTTAAGGAACAGGATCTGGCTAAGCCCCCTGCTCAACCCTGGTGGAGCCGCCTCAAGATGGGCCGGATCGCCTACTGGCGAAACCACATCGTGGTCACCGTTCTTGCTGCCTTGGGAATTGCACCCAAGGGGACCGTCGACGTCCACGAGATGCTTTTCAAGACAGCTGATTATTTGACAAGAGGGGGCGACTCTGGGATTTTCTCACCGATGCACATGATCCTCTGCAGAAAGCCCAACGACAGTGACGACCACGTCCAAACCTGAGTTTCTACGTCAAATTGGAAAACAAAAACAGCTACTCCTTTCTTGTTTCCGGTACCCTTTTTCTTTTTCATAATAATAATTATTATTAGTATCTTTGGTTTAACTTATTTTAGCTTTTGTTATTACTATGATTAGTATGAACTTGGTGTAATTCGGATTTTGATCTTTCTATTTTAAATTTGAATTTTGCAATGTATCACATTTGATTGAGGAGAAGTTTGTGTTTTTGTTTTAATGAGAAAAGGTATTTAGATTTTGTACAGAGTAAGGTATGCTTTGGATTGGCAACTAATGAAATAGAAGTGAGTGATGATTGATTTGCGCATATAAAAGAGGAGAAAGTATGTATAAGTGCATAGTGGTGATAAGGAATAGTAGTCTCCTTGATTTTGGGGTAATTAATTGGTGGAGGAATCTGAGAAAGTATCTGAAATGCTTTTGTGGTGGGATTTATGGTGGTGGTTGTTGAAGGAGATATTTTAATGAGGATGTATGAGTGGATTAATGAAGAAGGATTTTGTCGTGTGGGAAGGGTAGGGTAGGGAAAGAACAGAGATAGAACAGAAGAGAACAGAAGAGAGCACATGTTAGATGGGTATATTAGCGTGTGATTAGGTGGAGACCACTGAGGATGGGTTTAGCCTGGTTGTATTGTAACGTGGTTATGTTTGAGCTTTCAGTGTCTGAATCTGCCCTTGATGCGTGTTGAGTTGCTTTTTTGGTTTTACTCTTGTCACGATGTGCCTGGATTTTAGCTTCCTAATGCCAAAGCCCCACACGCACCGTGACATCTGGCCCGCACTAGCTTTAGATCTGCCAAACCAGTTTACTCTATCTTTCACTCAACTTCAAGTTTAACCATTCCTTATTCTTTTAATCATCTCTGCTTTTCTAATAATGCCTTCTGTAGTAGAATTAACACACGTTGCTCTTTTAGAATGTATGAGAATCTAATATAACTCACATTCTTTTAAAAAATATTTTAGTGTTTGTGATTTTCAATAACTGCCAATTATAATCCAATTGGAAATTTAAAATTTATTTTATAAAAGTTACAGGATATAGAATGTGGACTTGTGCACGAGAATTTTAAAAATGATAATATGTTTATTATATTAATTTGGATTTGTAAAAATATAATTATAAATTAATATAAATATTTTATTTTATATAATCAAGCAATGGTACACAACTCTTTTGTGAGGGGAAGAAATGTCTTTTTTTTTGGAATGAAACAGAATTGGAAGATCTTTAGTCTCTATAACTCCAAAATATTTTGTTGATTGTGGGACAAGAGTATCAATTTCTCTTGGCATGCATAAGCCTTTTCGTTGGGCTTGGAAAGAACAAATTGTTGATTTTGGGACACTTTGCCCTTGCAAAGAGATTTTGATGAAGTTTGTAAATATATTAAATATGTTTCTATTTAGTTCACAAATGACTTAATCAATATGCTTTTAAGTTTAGCTGTTGGAAGTTAAGGTGCACTGTAACGAAACTGCTACCTTTCTAGTAGATTTAAAAATTCATGAAAATTTAATTTTGTCAATAAAATAATTGTTTCCAATGGGAATGCAGAGTATTTATTAAATTATTTATTTTTTAAAAGTTAAATTTAGTCAATGCAGTTTTTAATTTACTTGAAAATAATACAATATTTGTAGTGATTATTTTGTTGGGATTATTAATTTTGAGATTATGCAAAATTATAACTTGAACGTTCTTTGAACAAACCCCACCTTGATTAATGTGGTTGAGGTGTTTGAGTACCCACAATGAGTATTTTTCTTCTTGGCATTTTAAACTCTAGAATTTTTTTGTAAGTTAAAAGAAGAAGAAAAAATATATAATAGTTTTACTTAAATGAAAAGTAAGACTATTGTATACTTCTGAGTATTGTTTAATGTTATTTTTTTAAATAAAAAAATATCATTAAAATACATGACAACAGATTATTTATCTGAATACCATTATTTGTATTTATTTAAAAACTTATGTAAAAAGAGGAAAGATATTAATAAAAAATATTTTAAGTGTCAGTACGTAGTTTAATGATTAGAGTCAGAATAAAATTAAGCAGACAGGCAAGTGTAATATCAAAATATTCTTTTATATAAAATTACAATTTTAATATTAAAATATTTTTTTATATGACATTGTTAGATTTCAGAGACATAACAAGGTTCTATCCGTCATGAATGTTTTAAATAGAAAACGCCTGTTTAACATGAAGACAGTTTTGGTTAAATTTACTGTTAAACCAAAATTAACTTCCTCATTTATCGCATAATGGAATTCAGACGCGTAATGGAATTCAGACATGGACACGTGCATACAACTCAACCCATTAAGTGAAAAAATCATGTGATGTTAACACGCTTCCTTTACAAATTATTTTAAAAAATTATTCTTTNCCTTGCAAAGAGATTTTGATGAAGTTTGTAAATATATTAAATATGTTTCTATTTAGTTCACAAATGACTTAATCAATATGCTTTTAAGTTTAGCTGTTGGAAGTTAAGGTGCACTGTAACGAAACTGCTACCTTTCTAGTAGATTTAAAAATTCATGAAAATTTAATTTTGTCAATAAAATAATTGTTTCCAATGGGAATGCAGAGTATTTATTAAATTATTTATTTTTTAAAAGTTAAATTTAGTCAATGCAGTTTTTAATTTACTTGAAAATAATACAATATTTGTAGTGATTATTTTGTTGGGATTATTAATTTTGAGATTATGCAAAATTATAACTTGAACGTTCTTTGAACAAACCCCACCTTGATTAATGTGGTTGAGGTGTTTGAGTACCCACAATGAGTATTTTTCTTCTTGGCATTTTAAACTCTAGAATTTTTTTGTAAGTTAAAAGAAGAAGAAAAAATATATAATAGTTTTACTTAAATGAAAAGTAAGACTATTGTATACTTCTGAGTATTGTTTAATGTTATTTTTTTAAATAAAAAAATATCATTAAAATACATGACAACAGATTATTTATCTGAATACCATTATTTGTATTTATTTAAAAACTTATGTAAAAAGAGGAAAGATATTAATAAAAAATATTTTAAGTGTCAGTACGTAGTTTAATGATTAGAGTCAGAATAAAATTAAGCAGACAGGCAAGTGTAATATCAAAATATTCTTTTATATAAAATTACAATTTTAATATTAAAATATTTTTTTATATGACATTGTTAGATTTCAGAGACATAACAAGGTTCTATCCGTCATGAATGTTTTAAATAGAAAACGCCTGTTTAACATGAAGACAGTTTTGGTTAAATTTACTGTTAAACCAAAATTAACTTCCTCATTTATCGCATAATGGAATTCAGACGCGTAATGGAATTCAGACATGGACACGTGCATACAACTCAACCCATTAAGTGAAAAAATCATGTGATGTTAACACGCTTCCTTTACAAATTATTTTAAAAAATTATTCTTTTATTTTAATTTTTTATATGTATTTTTATTAATTAAATATAATGCTTTATCATTTAAAGTGACGGTAAAATAGAAGTAAGAGTTAGCATCTACATCAAAGCATCAACTTCGAAAATTAAGGTGCTCGTTCTCCGTGTGTGTAAAGGATCTCCATCAATGCTAGAAAAATCATATTCTACTTTTTCAGTTGAAAGGATTTAGTCTGGAAAATTTGAGGTTCCTCTTTTTCTCAATGGAAAGTAGAGGCAGGGGAGGCATGTTGCATTGATTTTATAAAAGTATTAAGCAGTCTTTATCATTCTGATTACAAAAATATTAACCTTCAAAATATAATAAAATAGAATGGATACAATTACATGTTTAAAAAATTCAGATTTATTTAAGTTCCAACTTACACTGTAAACAAACTACTGAACATATAAAACAGAAAAACACACACACTATTAGCAGGTGCATATAAACAAAGACCGTGGAACATAAAATACAGAAAATGGTCGGCATAAAAGTAATAAATTTCAAAACAAGTCCAATATTTAGAACTATTTCTAAGTCACCAAACTTTTTAAAACATAAAATCTTGGGTAACAAATTAATAATATTGAGATACTGTGGAACTTACATATGAAACTTGGAATATAATGAAATCAAAGTTTTTCTCATTTATTCAACACACAAGTATACATTGTATTTGTAATTCTTATATACAAAAGCAAAAAAAATGAATAAAATAACAAAATACAATAGTTTTTGGTAGGTAACAAAATACACTAGTTATTTTGTCAAAAAAAAATATATACTTGCAATCTATTTTTAAAGAAGTGTGGACCACACATATTTGATTTATTTTCAACATTGTATCTTTTAAATCAAGTTTCTATCAAGCATCTTCTTCATCTTATAAAATAATTCACTTTTTAGTGACTTTTTAAAAATATAAACAACTTGTTTTTTAGTAGAACAATACTCGATCACTACATATTTATGAGAATTCTCTTTTGCTCTTTATAAATGACACTTTGTTTTTTCATGAATTTGTTCAGTAATCCTACTCTAAAGATAATGTCAGGTTTAGTAGCAGTCAAATATCAAAGACTTTTAATCAAATTCTTGTATTATATTGAATTAATATCTTTGATATATCTCATAATTCTCTTCGTTATTTGTAAATAACACATAGTTTTTTCATGAATTTGCTTAGTAATCCTACTCCAAAGACAATATTCAATCTAGTAGTAGTCAAATATCTAAAATTTCTAATCAACTCTTGTAGTATGTCAAATTAATTCTTCTTCTATCAATGTCGTTTTTTTGGTTTCAACTTCTCTTCAACCTATGTTGAGATTGATTTTGAATTTTTCATCTTGAATTTCTTCAATACATTTTTTAAGATATAAAAATTTCATTATCACCATGCTAAATGATCTCAATACCAATAAAATATGAGATGAAGCCTAAATATATCATCTTAAAACATTTAATCAAGACCTCCCTTAATTTTGTAATATTCTTTTACATTATTGTTAGTAAAAATCAAAATTTTCATATTTTTTCATACTTTTTATCAGTACATATTTGTCAACCACTAGCTTTAGATCCATCTTTAATATGAATATTACACTCATGTCATTTAATTATCTAATAAAAAATAGATTTTTCTTCAAATCGTTTACATATTATGTCTTTTGAATTATCCAAACATACATTTTTTATATTGACCATAAAAAAATATTTTAAAATTATATAATTTAAAGTTAAAAA